ATGTCAACGACATTTAGAAGTTCAAATGTTAAATATAAAAATTAACATCTCAATACTGATTATTGCAGACTTATTGGCTAGCGTGGTATGAACATGTGATGCGTAGAGAGAAGATGCATGTGACTAGGAGATGTATGGAAATGGTAGTGCAAGGTAGAAGGGGAAGAGGTCGACCGAAAGAGACATGAATGGAGTGTGCGAATGACGATATGAGAGAGAGAGGAGTGAGTGTTGAGCTGACGGCTGATAGAAGAGAAAAATTAGCTATGACGACCCCACCTAGTGGGATAAGGTGGAGAAAAAGAAGAGACCGATTATTGCCGACTAAGAACTGACATGATCTGAAACTTAAGTGAAAGTTCTCGATAAAAAGATTGCAAACACTCTGAAACCATATTATTATAACGTTTTCCGCAGTGGAATTTCAGTACCTTACCCCTTTTGGTAGCTCATCTGCAATACCAGTACCCTGACTTGATTCTTCGTGTCTCCACTCCTAAATACTACCACATTTGGCTGATCGCAAGACGTAGTACGAGCCCATAGTAATGGTTCCGGCTTGAAGAGCCTGACATTGGTATTGCTGTACAATTAGACTTTCGAACCATATCCCATCTTACATAATTTTCTCTACTTTATGTAGGTACATTCATTTCGAAGCTGCATATTTCCACGAATAATAAATAATTTTGTAGTTTTGGACGTCCCACTAAGTTATATTTTTTTAACGTAACATATTTAGCTGTATATTGAGCGCTATCATATATCCTTCTATGAACGAGGTTTTAAAAACCTTCGTTATGGCTACCAACTTTGCTGATGTCCGTAAGCAACGAGGACAATTGACCGACGGAGTGAGCCGAAAGATCGTCCCGCTACTACGATAATAAAAAAAAAACATCTTCCTTAATTAACTTTCCGAAATCGAATAATAATATGACGTCATTTTTATCTGAATCTGAAATATTTGTACCAATTTATTTACATATAAGATGGTCGTTACTCGTTAACCAATATCGTAGTTTGATAACCCAAATGACCCTTGAATTATTATCAGCGACTTGTATCATAAAAGACATAATGTTAATTCTGCAGATAGTACTTTTAAATATATCGTCACTTATGCAGACAGTACTATTATTGATCGCTTGGTACCCTAATATTTGACTATTATTTGCTGAGCTACCGATACACATTGGACTTAGACCGGCTTCTGTTTACTTGAGAAGCGATACGATTGTGTGTTTCCACGGAACAAGGACGTGCGTGAATTCTTAATGAAATCATAAAAACAATGAACACAATAGAAACAAATAGGGTAATTTTTGCAGACGGACTTCATTAAGTTAATCAATTAAAACATAGCTGAACTTAAATAACTATTCTGATTTAGAACGATATTTTATCGAATTTGAATTTGAGCTGAAAATTAAAAAATTCAGTATCCAGAGCATTATTTTTTTTATTGCATAAATGGGTAGACGAGCTCACAGCCAACCTGGTGTTAAGTGGTTACTGGATCCCATAGACATTTACAACGCAAATGCGCCACCCACCGTGAGATATAAGTTCTAAGGTCTCACTCAGTATAGTTAAAACGGCTGCCCCACCCTTCAAACCGAAACGTATTACTGCTTCACGGCAGAAATAGGCGGGGTGGTGGTATCTACCCGTGCGGACTTATTTGAGGTTCTACCAACAGTAAAACGATACGATATTTGATGCTAACGTTTGTAGGCAGCGGCTTGGCTCTGCCCCTGACATTGCTCAAGTCCATGGGCGACGGTAACCACTCACCATCAGGTGGGCCGTATGCTCGTCTGCCTACAAGGGCAATAAAAAAAAAAAAACCTACTTGACATTTAGTTATAGATATGTATTTAAAACTACTTATACTTTAATATGGGCAGTCAGTCGTGTGCGACCACAAAAACTGTAAATTATACGAAATATCCGAAATAATGTAATAGGTATTTAAAAAAATTCGAGATTAATAAACAGTAGTTTTAATCGTAATTTTGTTTTTGTTAAGTTCTCTCTTTCTTTCTATCTCTGATTGGCTATATCTAAGAAAGTTTAAGCAATGATCGTCACATAAAACAGTAGTGCAGTCGTCCTTAGTTTGAAGTGTTAGGAACACTCACTGATATGCTATCGGGTGGTGCGTTGGTAAAAGAAAATGACGGAATCATACTACACAGTTCTTCAGCGTATATACAATTTATTGACGGCTTAAAGGACCGAAAATCCCGGGTCAGTGGGTCTTATTAATTATACTTAGTTGGACTATCACTCAAGTGATACGGATACTTGACCTCACGTAGGTCGTAAGATACATGAGTCGTCTATTTGTCTATCTAATTTAATAACAGATTCCGTTTTGAGGCTTAAAATATTGGTTCAATCCAACTGCAATCGAATATCTCCAGTGTGCTTAGTGCGAGTTTCTTAACGTTTTCGATAGCGTAAAAGTTAACCCAATTTTGTATGCAGTTGGTACAGCGCCCCTAGCGGCAAACGTACGCAACCGATCCAATTCCATACTTGACAAATATGAGCTAACTTTTACGCTATCGAGAACGTTAAAAAAACTCGCACTAAGCACATTGAACGTTACAAGTGCTTACATTGTGATTTTCAAGGGTTTTGGTAATAACTTAACATTAGATTGGCCGTCAGCTCCTTGGCCGGTTTTAGGTATTCGTATAAAAAAATAACTAAGAATCTTTTTTATTTTTATTTTTTATTGCCCTTGTAGGCAGACGAGCATACGGCCCACCTGATGGTAAGTGGTTACCGTCGCCCATGGACTTCAGCAATGCCGGGAGCAGAGCCAAGCCGCTGCCTACCGTTGAGTACTCTCCACAAGCCACGTTTGAAGAAGGATATGTCATAGCGCTCGCATCTGTGGTGTAATTTCTATTTGCCAGTCTCATGCTGATGCTGTACTAATTAATTCAATTAAAATTACCACTAACCTTCCCGGCATAGCCTTGTGGTGACGACGTTGAATTCAGCTAGACCACAGCCGAGGAATGCAGCGAATAACAGCCAAGAATAGAGAGCCATGTTGTACACGCTGAGGCAGTTCAGTTGTGACTGATTGATTGTACGGACGTAATGCACGATGAAAAGGGCACAAGTCACAGTAGTGCACAGATAAAATATTTTAGCCGACTTCCAAAAAATAGGTAGGTATGCTCTAAATTCTTAGGAACGTCGATCTTGTATTGACTGATGTTGGGGTTCATGTTATTATTTTTATTGTTTTAGTAGAGCATAGAGTGTACGATCCTCCTGATGTTGAGTGCTCACCGTCTCAATGCGTTTACGGATACGGCCAAGTCGCTTCCGATTCAAGAATAGCTTCAAGAGGAAAGATTTTTGTCATCAGAAATTTTTATGGACGAAAGTTCATTCCAAGCCCGGATGGCACATGTAAAAAAAAATATCTCGGTGCATTAACTTAAATGTTGTCATGTTAAGGCATTGACATTCAGTTTTAGCAAGGAAGCCGAAAGAATAACCCGTAAATTTTCGAGTCATTGTAGAATCCTATCGGAATTACGATCTAACTAAGTGAAGTTTAAGCAGTCCTAAACTGTAGATTGCGTCCCAGCTATACCTTCAGCATTACCTGCTGACAGCTGACGGTAGGCAGTGAAGGCAGCCAAAATATGTTTTGTTTAAAGTTAGCCCTTAACAAACCTTATCAATAATGCTGACATTACGACCCGGCCGCATGAATAAATTATCATTTGCATGTTATAATAAATCAGTTTAATATTAAGCATTAATTTGCTTGTGTGGGCATTGGATAAAATATTATTTGGTCGGGTAGTAAGGTTAGAAGCGAGAGTATATACACGTAAAGAAAGTTTATGTTGTCGTAAGTTGTAAGTTTATGTTCACGATTGACATCCACGGTGAAGGAATAACATCGTGTAATAAAAATGAAACCCGCAAAATTATAATTTGCGTAATTACTGGTGGTAGGACCTCTTGTGAGTCCGCGCGGGTAGGTACCACCACCCCGCCTATTTCTGCCGTGAACCAGTAATGCGTTTCGGTTTGAAGGGGTGGGCAGCCGTTGTAACTATACCTGAGACCTTAGAACTTATATCTCAAGGTGGGTGGCGCATTTACGTTGTGGATATCTATGGGCTCCAGTAACCACTTAACACCAGGTGGGCTGTGAGCTCGTCCACCCATCTATGCAATAAAAAAAAAGTTTGTAAATAAAAACTGTCTGTATATATAAACTGTACGCATTAGGTAAAAAAAAAATAACGTCACATGTTCAAATAAAAATTTATTTACACTTAAGTATTTTTTAATACAAAAATAATCTCAAAACTTATACGTTGCTTAAATCTCGTTGTTCCGTCGATTCGTGATCATTTATGAGTATTAGTTAGTTATAATTATATTTACAGATGCCGAATAATGTCTTTGGCATATCGATTATCATTATGTTTACTTACACTAAGATCATAACGATCTATCCGCGACCATCTTGTGATGTGGGATATCTTAATAGCATTGGAATTTGAACGGCATTCTTTTTGTTTGCGGCAGAAATAGGCGGAGCTAATGTACCAATACGGGCTCAGAATACTCCGTATCACAAACAATAATACCTTTTTAACAAGTTGCCCTTCGTGAGCACTCGTAAGTGCGATCTGTAGTAACATATATCTCTTTCAGCATTACACGAACATTGAACTTAGGGCACTAAGAAATAATGACCAATTTTTGCAGCACCCAAACTGTAGTAATGAAATTTTATCCTTCTATATTTTACAACTCATGTTACATTATATTAGATAAAATTAATGTATATTTAAAACAATATTTAAAATCGAACACTGCACTACGATGCAAATTTCTACACTAAAATACATACAAAAATCAAGTCTTTTAAAATTGTTTTTTTCTACAAAACTTGCTCAATTGTTTACAATAACCACAGAATCAGCAAAGATTAAAGGTGTTTGCGTCATTCTGTTTTCTTTATCATTGTCTGCTTTAGCTTTGTAACAAATAATATGAAATGACGCACCGTCGACAATGCGATGATAAATTTCATTGGTAATGGAAACAGCGCTAAATAACATTTCAAATCATAATATTAAATAATTAACATTTATTCATCCACTCTCGAATTTTCTTCACCACCACGGACGGAAAAGGCCAATTCTTTTTTATTCATCATTATTAACAGTTTTATATTCATATTCCTGCACGGCGTTACTCGTAAAAAAAATATTATACACATTAAGAATATCTTGGTGTTAATTCTTTTGTAATGGAAAAAAAACACCATAAAAAAGGAATCATTTTCGAATTTAGAATAGCTAGTCAGAGCGGAATCCTCGCTGTGGCGACGTGAGTTTGTTTCAGAGAATTCACTAAATTTCAGAATAATCACGAAAATCGAATCGTCGTGGAATTTGCGATTCTATTTTCAAAAATTTCTTTTTTTTTTCAAAGTTTTGGTAGGACCTAAAATGTCTGCGATGACTTTACAGACGCAGCGGGAGGCCAAAGCGAGAGCGGTGGTTTTCTTCTGTACGCATTTAGAGTTCAATTTCGGCGTACGACAAATAACTTGTCGCTTACGTCTATTTTGAACGAAATGAATTTAAAAATATGTCGTCTCTTCAACGAATAAGTTTAAATGAGGTAATGAAATAGTTTTTTTTATTTGTTGACATATTTATACAATAGCCAGGGTCGTGGTGGTGTTGTGGGGGTCGTCTCTGGATAAGTGGTGTAATTCCTGATGTATCCCGGCTTCTTTGAGGATCCTCATCCTGGGTCCTAGCGGCACGCCCAGCGCCCGCAGCCTGTCCTCGCCGACGTATGGGAGCTCCGCAGCACCCACCTTCTCCTTCTCAAGTAACGCTGCGTACTTCTGTACAAAATGTAACAAAGTTTAAAAAAAAAAGTTTAATTTTCTTGCGGGTAGTATTATAAAAAAACCTCCTGAAACACCAAGTGTTTTCTTATTGCCCTTATAGGTAGAGGTGCATGCGGCCCACCTGATGGTGAGTGGATACCGTCGCCCATGGACTTCAGCAATGCCAGAGGCAGAGCCAAGCCACTGCCTCCACTAGCACTACTCTCCACAAGCATCGTTTGAAGAAGGACATGTCATAGCGCTCGGGAAACACCGTGGAGGGGAGTTCATTCCAAAGTCGAATGGTACGTGGCAAAAAATATCTCTGGATTGGACACGCAGGACATTCGAATCCCTTCGTGCGACTTCAAAACGTCTTATCTATATATATAAAAATGAATTGCTGTTTGTCAGTCTCGCTAAAACTCGAGAACGGCTGGACCGATTTGGCTAATTTTGGTCTTGAATTATTTAATTTTGTGGAAGTCTATAGAAGGTTTAAAAGGTAGATAAATATGAAAGTGCTCGGAATTAAATAAAAATAACAATTTTGTTTTTCCTTTGATGTGTTCCCCGTCGGGCGGATTCCTTTTGTTTGTTTTAAGTTTATTTTATACAAAAGTTTAGGTCTTTTATTTATCGACTGAGGCACTACGAAGTCTGCCGGGTCAGCTAGTTGCCAATAAAATGCTCACACTGACCTCATAGCCGAGTTTCTTCAGAAACAATCTCATTAGTGGCGGTTCATCTCCGAAGAACTTGGTGAGCCGCTTCACCCTGTCCGGGTTACTGAATGAATACGGATCCGAATGCCGCTGGTGACCTGAACGGATGTGTTGCTGGGACCTGGGTGCAGAAAATTGCAGTATCTATACTGAGCAGCAGAAGTGATTTCGTGATACTGGTGGTAGGACCTCTTGCCTTTTTTATTGCTTAGATGGGTGGACGAGCTTACAGCCCAGTTGGTGTTAAGTGGTCACTGGAGCCCATAGATAACTACAGCGTAAATGCGCCACCCGCCTTGAGATATGAGTTCTAAAGTCTCAATATAGTTACAACGGCTGCCCCGCCCTTCAAGCCGAAACGCTTTACTGCTTCACGGCAGAAATAGGCGGGGCGGTGGTACCCACCCGTGCGGACTCACAAGAGGTCCCATCACCAGTAATTAATTTATTATAATTCTGCGGGCTTAATTTTTATTAAGCGATGTTATCTTTCACCGTCGAAGTCAATCGTGAACATTTGTTAAGTACGTATTTCATTGGAAAAATTGGTACCCGCCTGCGGGATTCGAACACCCGTGCATCGGTCGATACGAATGCACCGGACGTCTTATCTTTTAGGTCACGACAATTACAAGGCATATCATAAATATGGCCTATCATAAATCCTTCTTCAAACTAAATTTGCATCACCGATATCCGAGAAGAGCATTTTTTTTTATTGCCCTTGTAAGCAGACGAGCATACGGCCCACCTGATGGTGAGTGGTCACCGTCGCCCATGGACTTCAACAATGCCAGGGGCAGAGCCAAGCCGCTGCCTACCGCTTAATACTCTCTACAAGCCTCGTTTGAAGAAGGACATGTCATAGCGCTCGGTAAACACCGTGGAGGGGAGCTCATTCCAAGTTCGGATGGCGCGTGGCAAAAAAGACCTCTGGAAACGCACTGTCAATGAACGCAGCGGTTCCAGATAGTATGGATGAGCTCCGCTCCGATGGCGGGAGGTGTTCTGCCCTGGTGTACAAGCAGATAACCACTAATCGCAGTGGCTCCAAGGTCTTCAAAGGTCATTAAAACAGCACAGCAATGGATAAGTCGATGGTTGCTCGTGATACGTACTTGTACATATGCCTGAGGGCCGCGATCTCTGCGCGGATGGTGTCCATCTCCTGCATGACGAGGTGCTGGGTTCTCATTTCGCTGGACAGGTGCGCGACGGAGCGCGCCAGCGTCACCACGTGCGACTCCAGCCGCTGGAACCGCTTGTTTATACCCTGAAACAAAACCGATCAGTCATGTCAGTAACCTTGTTTTTTTCAAAGATTTTATGCCCCGGCAACGAGACTTTTAACCCGAATCATATTCTCATAGCTTCTTAAGTGTAAAAGATAAATGATATGAAGTGAACTGAGGAGAAATGAGGCCATCAGCGCAAAAGTGCGCTAATCCACAATTTTATATATTCAAGCTTATATGTATGTATATTAGAATTTATTTACAATATAATAAATTTTGATGCCAAGCCGGCCTATCCATAGTTTCACCCATAGATATCAGATGCTTTGTTAATATTATTGTTGCGCGTATTGTTTTTTTGCCTACTCAAATTCAAATTCATCAAAATTCAAACCTAATTGCCTCCATACTAACTATGGTAAGCTTAGGCCACTTTTGCGCTGACGGCCTCAAATGTAGTCTTAGATATTGGTTATTTGCTGACACTATTTCGGTGGACTTTTTCAAGGAGCCCGAGAAGATACGTCCAGCGGATTTGTTTCATTTTCATAGAGTTGTCCTTTTTGAGAATATTAGAAGAACTTTTGTGTATTTTAATTGTGGTCTTGTGGGTTAATAAATAAAAAACAAAAATTAATAAAATTGTGCTAAAACTGTGTTGATTGCTTTAAGAGGTTATTTCAGCTTCTTAGCGTGTAGGTGAGGTCACGGGGCTCAAACAGAGGATGTTCGGCGAGGAAGGTGACCGGTGCTTGAGGTACCTAAAAGCACCGTTAATGGATCTGCAGGATCCGTAATGACGTGATAGCTTTATGCTTAAAATGTCGTTCAATTAAAAACAGTTCCGATTTAGATTTTCGCGACTGTCTATTGTTCATTATATACGTCATTTTTATTGGGTTCTTAGAGTCTCATTTAATAGATACTAGATATTTTAGCGTTTTGCATCGTTGGCTCGATGACTCAATGGGGCTATGTAATATCGAATTTTATTTAAAAAAAAAAAACTCATCACTCTTTATTAAACATAATACCCGATTCCCAGTATGATGACTCGATAAATAATAGTGTTTATAAGAACAGTTTTGTTTCGAACAATATCTAAGGTTTGCGCGTTCCTCTAGTTGTCCGAACCGACCTTGTAGTCCTGTTTCTTCCTGTGCTCATTGGAGCTCCGTCTCTTATCCCTGACGGGGCGACTGCTCACTGAGCTGGAGGGGAGCGAGGACATGCTGCCATAGCGACGCTTCGACGACAACCTGCAATTATAATCGGAAACTTATTGAAATTAATAATAATATAGCCAGTTTTTTTTTATTGCTTATATGGTTTGACGAGCTCACAGCCCAGTTGGTGTTAAGTGGTTACTGGAGCCCATAGACATCTACAACGTAAATGCGCCACCCACCTTGAGATATAAGTTCTAGTATAGTTTTAGTACTTGGGTGAGTCTTTTCCGTTTTCTTCTTAATCTTCGTCTTAATCTAGTTACTTTAGTTATGTTTACGTTAGTTAGTTAAAATTATTAATTATAGAATTAATTCATTACAGCAATTTTGATAAGAAAAAATATGTGTGGTGTCGTGGGACACCGGATAGGAACGAAGTTCCTTATTATAAAAATATTATTTTTAAGTTCTATTCGAGGTATACAGTAAATAAAATTGGAGGTTTCACAAAACAACCCGCGGTCACTCGGTAACGTGCGAACTTATTGTGGTACACATTCACGGTTGTTTGCATAAGAGTTAGTGTATTGCGCAAACGAACGCTCTGAGATCGTGGTCAATGAATGATAAAAAATATGTTCTTTAATGTACGCTATTACAAAGTTAAGTCGTACACTGTGTGCATTACTAATAAAAATCTTACGTTACGGACGTTTTTTCTCGATTAGGGTACCCATCCGCATCGCTCAATAAGGAAATTCGATCCAAAAAAAAATTCACTTTCAAAATTTTGCCGCCCTGGGCACTTGCCCCGACTGCCCCTAGTGTAAGTTGACCACTGATTGTATTGTTGGTAGCGATTGAAAGGCGATTGCATGCAGCAGAGATGCGAATGTTACGATGAATGTGTGGAGTAACGAGAATGGATAGAATACGGAATGAACATGTTAGAGGAAGTCTGTGGCACCTGTGACAGAGAAGCTGAGGAGTGCGCGTTTGGGCTGGTATGGACACGTGATGAGACGAAATGAAAATGAGGTTGGTAAGAAAATGTTAACTATGAATGTGGAAGGATATAGAGGAAGAGGTAGACCTAAGAAGAAATGGATGGATTGCGTGAAAGACGATATGGGTAAGAGGGGAGTGAGCGAAGAAATGGTATATGATAGAAGAGTATGGAAGGAGAAAACGTGTTGCGCCGACCCCAGGTGACTGGGAGAAGGGCGGGATAATGATGAATGATGATTTCAGTGTTGGATAGCCCATTTATCGAGGGAGGCTTTAGGCTATATAACATCACGCTAAGACCAATACAAGCGAAGCACCAATAAATAATGTTTCAAAATCGGGGTTTTATATTAAACTAGAGGTCCCGCGGTAGTCGAAATTCGACTATAATTAATTGGAATTGTAAGTTTGTACACTATTATGATTGTATTTTATACTTCTATAATCACAAATTTCGCCAAGACTACACTATAAAAATATTAACAAAGTCAAACAATATTTAATCTATTTTCAAGTTGACAACAGACGTCAAGAACAAAAGTTTGTCAATAAATAGTATGCATGCGTGTGTGCGTCAAATACATTGTATGTAGTGTGTGTAATGTTTTCTTTATTGATTTAATGTATCTTTTATGCATTATTTTAAAAAAAATATTAGCATTGTGCACTTCTTCTCTATATTCTCTATAAGTGTGGAAAATTTCATACTCCTTCGTCCGCGCATTTTTCGTAAAAAGGGATACAAAGTTTTTGCTTCACGTATTAATTATATTAGATAATGTGTTGTCGGCAGCGCTCACCTGGCCTCCCAGGAGTGCTTGTGCGCGGAGACCGGCTTCCGCACGCCGAGCAGCTGCAGCACCTCCGCGTACATGTTCTCGAGGCCGCGCAGCTGACGGCGGATGGCGCGCGCGTCCCCCGCGCTCGCGTCCGTGTCCGAGCGCGCGTCCAGCAGCGACGACAGGTCCAGGCTGCGCGTCGTCGTCGACGTCATGTCCGTCGTGTCCACCACTGTCCACCAACACGTCTTTTACTGGTGGTAGGACCTTTTGTGAGTCCGCGCGGGTAGGTACCACCACCCCGCTTATTTCTGCCGTGAAGCGGTACGCGTTTCGGTTTGAAGGGTGGGGCAGCCGTTGTAACTATACTGAGACCTAAGAACTTATATTTCAAGATGGGTGTCGGCATTTACGTTGTAGATATCTATGGGCTCCGGTAACCACTTAACACCAGGTTGACTGTAAGCTCGTGCACCAATCTATGCAATAAAAAAAACGTAGGACATTAGTTCTTTGTTTAACTCAACATCGATTTTGCATGTTTAATGTGACCACCCCATATCTTACCGTAAAAACAATTTACCTTAGAACGACTAGACGCTTTTTTTGAGACATCTACAGTGGACCGCAATCGCTAACCGATCTATACTGGTGGTAGGACGTATTGCAGGTACCTACCTAATATCCTGCCTATTTTTATCACGAAGCCATGATTGTCATTAATCGATGCCTCCAATGAACACTACTCTAACTCAAAAATTTGAAATTTTCGTTTTTCACGCAAATCGCTTCACTATTTTAAAAGTATTACAATTAATCATTATTGATGGGGTTCGAAGCAAGAGTTAATCAGCTAGTTACACAAAAAAACCATAAATACATCTGCAATAATAAAGATTTTTAAACTTTTTTCGTTTTAACGCTCCTCCTGTAAATCTACGAATTTGGAGTTAGCGCAGTGTTCATTGGAGGCATCGATTTGAAAGGGGTAACGAGCACACAAAATCAGTGGCAGTATTAAGATTTTAGCGTCTATAAATATAAATATAAATATTTACTTATAAATATTCTATGTTTGTGATTGTTAGTATAAATATAAATATACTAACAATCACGCCACGTTAACTGGTCCTGTGCTAAGTTCGTAGAGAACTTGTGTTACAGGTACCAGATAACGGAAATAAATATAATATTTTTATTATACACATACATATAATTAATATACACCCATAACCCTGGAAAGACATTTATATTTATCATACAAATATCTTCCCTTGGCGGGATTCGAACCCGCGACCCTCTTGTGTAGTGACCATGTCACTTACCACTACACCAGACGGCCGTTGAATGGTTCTCCTGTAACCACTCAAACTAGATGAACTAGATAAATGGCTACTGGCAGTCACCCACCAAGATAACTAGATACCGATGATCTGTCGACCAATTTTTAACTGCATGCGTTCAGGAAAATGAGACTTTATCTTCGTTAACTAAAGATGGTAATAGAATGTATACTGTAGTGTTTATGCTTAGGAACATATTGTTATTGTCTTCTCGCATTAAAACTGTATAATTTCAAAACTTACTAATTTTACAGGAGAGTGTTTTAAAGATTTACTTAACATGTGATATTTTTAATATCAATCATATCTGCAACATTTTTTTTTTTACCAAATACATTTATCTGTATTTTAAAGTAAGATAAAATTATGTATTCATTTTGATAATAGTAGTCAAAATATAGGTACACAAAAAAAAAAAAAAACTAAAACTAAAATACTGGTGATATCAAATGATTCCGTATATTAACTCAATTTCCGCATATTTTTGGAAATTGTACACCTTTAATACGATAAGACGATATGTCCTTTCAATACTGAGATCAAGATCCTAGAGAATCCCCATCTATATATTTACATGGTGAATGCTAATTAAGTGATAAGTCAGTAACAACTCACAATGTTTTTTATAATGATGATCGCGTTTCGAAGAATGCTTCTTGTGTGAATGCCACCGTGGCGATTCTCTACCTCGTCTCCTCTCATCAGGGTACTCCGAAGAACGACCTGGTAGACTGGAAATATATACAGAAACTATAACATCCTTATTCTTAGTTGCATTTAAAAAAATCCCTACCCGAAAGTTCCTGAATTTCTTCAGCAAGGGTTTTGGTCCTGGGTGGGAATTAGTTTGTCTCTGGCAATATTCATGAGCGACGTCACCATCAGATCCACATAGGGGAATACCAAATAACGCCGTAAAGGCCAAGTTACTATTGCATTTGTTAAACTTGAGAAGTAAGTACCACCTTACCACACCTACCACCTGTAAAGGACCTCTTTAGTGGTGGTAGGATCTCTTGTGAGTCCGCACGGGTAGGTACCACCACCCTGCCTATTTCTGCCGTGAAGCAGTAATGCGTTTCGGTTTGAAGGGTGGGGCAGCCGCTGTAACTAGACTGAGACCTTAGAACTGATATCTCAAGGTGGGTGGCGCATTTACGTCGTAGATGTCTATGGGCTCTAGTAACCACTTAACGCCAGGTGGGCTGTCAGCTCGTCCACCCATCTAAGCAATAAAAAAAAAAGAAGTCAAATTATTCAAATGTTTTTAGAATACCTATTTCTCTTGTGCATGTCTGAAGAAGGTGATAACGGTGGGAGGGGTGGGGTCACTGAACTATCCGAGCTTCCTGACGAGTCAAGCCTCATGCTGGATAGTTTCGGTTCTAAAATCTGACGGAGCTCGCATTCCACTAAATCGGCCCATTCGTTTTCTGTGCCTAAAAGATAAATTTAGAGGGTAAGGTGAGATAGGTTAAATTGAAATAAAATGTTGGTCATATGGTCTAGAAAAGCAACACCTTATCTGTTTTCGTGTCGTAAGCCGACTAAGGCATTCACAGGAGAAAGGGCAGCTACTTGTTCTGCGCATTGTACCAGTGATTTTCGTTAGCCAACCGGCATTTACTGAGGGTAGGGTATAAGCCCGCATGGGTAGGTAGCACCTTGCCTATTTCTGCCTATTATTTTAAGTAGAATTGACACTTCAATTTCATATCTCAAGGCGGGTGGTGACATTCACGTTGTGATGTCTGGTATAATCACTTTACACGAGGAAGGACCTTAGATCATTCATCCAAGAAAATAAAATATAGAATGGTCTATAATGATAATGAATAAATTATATTATGTATGTAAAGAATAACCTTTATTGTCTGAAACTCATTAGTTTTCTAAAAATATTTTTTCTTAAATGTCCATGACTGAAATCTGTCATGGTGTAAAATAATGTTTAGTTTGTTTAGAATATTAATTTTATTAGATTAAGGGCTTTTAAATGTTGTTTTCATAAACATTTAACAAAAAAGTCTTTTATTGTTATTTGATTCTGAAGTACCTAATATCATTATAAATGTATTTATTTCTGTGTTTCTTTATTTTAGGAACGATAAGTCTATAAGTTAGTTACTGCGTAATACTTTATGAAGCGTGAGATATTTTAATTGTTTTAGGTGTTTTAAGGTGGTGCGTCTATATTGTAAGCCGTGAGTTTGGTACCATTATCCTATATCTTTTCTATTTCTGGAACAATGAAAGCATGCGATTCCAATTTAAACGGCATAGAAATTGCAATTTCTATGTCATCGAAATTTCAATTTCTGGAGACAATGAGGTCTATAGGATCTGGTCTAAACGACGTGTTCATAAAATACCGCTATCCCTCGCCTCGCTCTAGAGAGAGAGAGAGAGAGAGAGAGAGAGAGAGAGAGAGAGAGAGAGAGAGAGAGAGAGAGAGAGAGAGAGAGAGAGAGAGACAGAGAGAGAGAGAGAGAGACAGAGAGAGAGAGAGAGTCTTATACTTTGTGCAGCGGTTTCCTGGCTTGGTCCAGGTTGGGGCTGAACTCTCGATCCGACCGCATCGGAATCAGCGGAGGTGTCATGTATACTGGCTTCTGGTCGTCTCCCGCTGGAGTAGGCTACGCTACCTCGCCCGGAGTCCACATTCGACGACTGACCGCCGTTCTTGTCGTAGTCTGAAAATCAATGGTGAAGTTCCTAAAATTTCCATGTGAATTGATATTTCTTCTTTTTGGTTTGTTTGTTTTTTTTCAATTGTGATATTTGTAAGTTCAACTCCTATCATTCACATAATATGACGCTATCGAATTAATCCGCTTCTTAGATGTTTTTATGGACACACACAAGCTATGCACCGACTCATGTTGATTAATTAGAAGACACCACAACGTTACAGGCCTTGCATCTTGAGACTTCAGTGGAACTCTCAGTGGCATTGGAAGGTGACTTTTCGGAGGTTCAGATCAGATGTGATTGAACTGCGACCCACTGAGTTTCTCGCCGGATCTTCTCAGTGGGTCCCGATTCCGATCCGGTGGTAGATTCTGCGAAACACTGCCCTTGCTAGGACTAGTGTTAGCAAATTCTCTCAGGTTGAGCCCGTGAGCTTACCTACCAGTCCGTGCGTAGCAAATAGTCCCCTATGCTACCAGCGAATAGGTAGGGAGGAAAAGAAAATAAATTGTGTCTGAAATGTACAAGACAGTATCAAAACATGTATCTTCGATTCTAAAATAATCTCTAATCAATTAAATCCAATAAAAAGCTACATGCATTTTAAAACACGAATTAGCTATAAAAGTACTTTTAAAACAAGCTTATCTATTTAGATAATTTGTCTCAGCTGATTTGTTACCATAACTAATTATGGAAATATTTGCTTTCGTTAACGACCGAATGATTTATTAGGAAACTCTTTGTGTCGCAAACTAAGAAGCATTATCGTCTGGACATTGATTTATGACGGCTCTTATAAATTTAAAAGGTTATTTTTTTATAAGTAATCCTGGAAATTGTATTTGATTTCGACTTCTTTGAATTTAAAATGTAATTTAGCTCCATTAACGAGACAGAGATCCGGTACGGTATTTAAGATCATATCTTGGTGTTTGCACGGATTATTTGCTGAATAATAAAGCTATAAGACGGTTCAATATCGTCTAATAATGTGAAATATTCTACTATTAATGTGATTATTAGTTCGGAAAATCAAAAACAAATGTTCTTTTTTATTGAATCAGAAGGATTAAATTTCGTCAAATCATAAGGCTTTGATAAGATTTGTGTTAAGCGTTGGGGAATCTGATATTGCTTATTTATTCTGCGGTCGGTGTTCTTAAGAGGTTTTTAGACCTCCGAGAGCGTTAGATACGAGGTACATATTAGGTGAGGTTCCGTATGACCCGAATGGGAATCAACATTCAACTAAACACAGCTTCACAACATTAGTGTAAGTAATTGAAGAAAAATAACTGAAATATATATACATCCATAAACTCTGAATCTGTAAAAAATCACTTTTGAAATTTAAGACCAGAAACCGGCTTACGTATTATGGTATCTTAAGATGGGGGGCCCGCATACATACTGTGCTGTCTATGGGCTCCAGTAATCACTGAATATCTACCAGTTATGCTATAATTTGTTCATTCATCCCAGTATTATATTTTTTGTTCCTACATAGTCCAGTAGCCTTGAAGGGTTATACTAGATTCGCCGAACGAGTAGGTGAGCTCACAGGGCTCTAACCTGGTGACGTTGCTAACACTAGTCCTAGCAAGAGCAGTGCTGCACAGAATCTATCACCGGATCAGAAACGCAACCCGCTGAAAAGATCCGGCGAGGAACTCAGTGGGCTCCAACATTATCAAGCAGCAGTCTGGTACTGCTAGGGTGCTGTTAGAGATGTAGTGGTGTGGTTAGTGGAAATGATCGCTCATTTAAGCTTTTTTATGATATCAGACAAACTAATTAACTATTTTTTTATTAATCAGCTGTTTTAAGAGACCACGGCCTCTCTAGTGTTAAGTGGAAACCGGAGCCTATAAACATCAACTACATAAATGTCGCCACCAATCTTGAGGTATAAGTTCTTAGTCTGAGTTGCATAGTAAAACGGATTCCCCGCCCTTTACAGCGTAAGGCTTTACTGCTTCGCAGCAGAGATAGGCAGAGTGGTGGTACCCAACCGCGCAGTTTCACAAGACGCTCTACCATCAGTAATTAATTGTAAGATCTAAAATAAAACGTTGATGTCTAAATGTTGGAAAATAATTTCTCGTACCTGAACTGGCACCAGATCCTGCCCCTTTCTTCCCGGTAGCTTTCAAATCTTCTATTCTATTCGGGGTTTGCCGTGACGAGGAGGGCTGCGGATTGTATGCTTCAGTTTTCCCACTAGAATGGTAAACGCTGTCTGCGGACTTTTGGCTTGCATTCTCATCGTTTGCCGCCTGTCCCGTCGTTAAAGTATCTTCGCGTTTTGGTCCCACTGAATCCGGCGTCCTACGATTATGGCTGTCAGGCGTTCTTCTGTATACATTTTCGTGTATTCGCTGAGATTCTATAGATCTACCACTCGTCCTGATTCTATCTTCGAAACTTGACCTCCCTTGTGCGGCTAATCTAGCTCTGAACCCTCCATCATCTGATTCTCTTTCATCGTTTCTGTGAAGTTTTTCTTCAGTTGCTTCTAGAAGGTTAGCGTGAGAATTCCGCCTGGATCTGTCATGACTGTATGGAGTGGATGCTTCAGGTCTCGATTGCGGTTCATCTAGTAGATGAGGATGTGATGCTGCCCGTCTGCCTTCAACTAATCCTCGTTGCCGGATGATCTCTCGTTCTAATTGCTGTGGACTTCGAAGATCTGGTCTTGAATGCGATTCGAACTGGAAGCATTTTATGGGCAAGCTATAGAACGTTTATGTTTATTTTTGGTTCAGACTGACCAACTGTTTTCATTTGTATAAAATTATTAAAATAAAAACGTATTTCGGTTTTTCTTATCTAGATTTTATCACTTGCATAATAATATGTTACATATCATTTTGCCTATGCTATTGCCCAAATTTGCAATGCAAATGTGAAACGATTAAGGGATATTTTATTGGAATCGTTTTTATGAATGTTATATTCTTTATAATTTTCTCGTCGCCGTCTTAATTGTATTGTTGAACGATTTGTTTTGACTTTCAGAGTAGAATCGCCATAATTTAATATGAGGCAAGTTTACATGTAGTTGGCTAATCAGACATTTAAACGGATGTATTGAATTATTTATTGATTGAATTTCCTGCGATGTAGGTATCGCGGTCGCGCAAAATGCATGATTGAAATTGGAGATATCTAAATAATTACCGGAAAGAAATGAGACACTCTGCGAGAATTCCATCAGGAAGATTAGAGTGAAAAATGTCATAAGAAGCTATTTTAAAATGAAGACAATTTACGTCTTTGTGGAAAGTAGTCGTACTCGCCACATTAGAGACAAAGCTGAACTGATAGGTAATTGTTAATTGAATATGAATTTTATGAGCGCCAGAATATTGAACAAACAACCGTTATTTCTATATTTAGCGCTAATTACGATCGAGCGTAGCTGGTTTTCACCAGTAACCACATGAAAAAATTGTTAACTGCTCCAGCTAATTTAAGTATCTTGCCTAATTCTGTTAAAAAAATCATTCAATATTAAAACGTGAGCATCAAAATACAGAAGAGAAGCACCGCTAACTAACGAGGTATGATAATTAAAGTTGCGCCGTGAGAAACCATGGATAATTGTTGGGAATAAGCCAATGGACGCTTTGTTAACAGTGAGAACTTTATATGGGGTCGTACAGGAAAGGTGTTGCGATACCAATGTTGTAACGAAAACGGAAATAATGTTGTAAACTTGTACTTCCGAGAGAACTGCTATTTGTAAATTAATGTCTCCATTAATTTTCAAATTATCATATTAAGTGTCAACGACTTGAACAGTTATCATTGGGTGTCAGGCCTAATTGGTAAAACGCCCGCTTCTTTTGTATTGAGTATTGTTGCCATAATTGGGGCTCATAAATACGTATGAACTCATAATCACAGGCTCAGGTCATCATGTAATGAAAACGAACCGAAAAATGTTAGGGGGAACTATGAACCCATATTGGTAGTTACTAACAACCTATCCATATCTGTCATCAAGCAGTCATGCTTTCTGGTTTGAATGATTTTCTCCTGCCTATTCGTTGGTAGTCGAAGGGACTACGCTGTGACTGGTAGGTGAGGTCACGAGGTTCAACTAAGAGCTTGCTAACACTAGTCCTAGTAAGAGTAGTCCTTCGCAGAATGTACAAGCGGATCGGAATCGTTTTGAAGGAGGAGACAATTGGTACACAACCCTGACTTCGATCTCATGTCTCAATATGAGTTCATTCACGTGGACTTCTTTTCCAACTTCGGTAAATATGTAATTAATGGTTTGTGAACTAATGTGCCTATAAAGGAGAATTTAAAAAGACTTAGGAGTCGTAACCAATAAATAAATATTTAAAACGAAATTTATAATTAAGTTCTAATTAAGTAACAGGCGAAATATCGGTAACTCATGATAAGTGAAAATGGTGATATGAATGAACCAGTTAGCTAATAATGTTTAAACTATAAATAGTATAGTATAGTAGTAGAAACAAAAACAAAAAATGTTTATTGTTTATAATTTTTTACATTCTACTAAGATGTTCTAAAGGAAGTCTTAAGTATCCACTGAGCGTTAGTAGATTGGAATTGCTTTTTGAAGTTTAATTGTAATAACGGATATGAATATCGTAAACTTCGAATACTTAATGGCTTTGCAATAAGAACTAAAAGGATGGTCATTTCAAATTGGCATCGCTTAGCATAATTTATAAGCAATTTGCATAGAATGACGCCGGTTTTCTACGGGAAGTTTCAATTGAATTTGTAAGAGGACAAGCTACCTGTGTTTGTGGACTAGTTTTCAAGGATGTGAAATTGGCCATAGACCTCACGTCCATGTCCCGTTGATACACCGCGCTTCTTCGTCCCGGAGGTCCGTACTGCTGGTATAGGGCGTCGGAACCAAGCGCCTGAGGTTGGGGTCGATGGGGCGACGCCAACATCTCCTGTGACCTGGCTTGGTGGTTCAGTAGCATCTTTTGTTGGACGATTTGCTGTTGCATTAGTTGCCTGAGAATCAAATTTGGCTATTAAGCTTCTGTGCGCGCAATTTTGATTTTCTTTTGTAAGTTTCGAATGGATTACCGCAGACTAATGATCGACTACGAATGAATATTAGTAACAAGAACAGTGTCTCGTGATAAATCGTGATTTTACTCATGTATGCTTACAAAAACTAAAGGATGCTCGTATTTTTTTTTTATTGCTTAGAGGGATGGACAAGCGCACGGCCCACCTGGTGTTAAGTGGTTAGTGGAGCCCATAGACATCTACAACGTAAATGCGCCACCCACCTCGAGATATAAGTTCTAAGATCTCAGTATAGTTACAACGGCTACCCCATCCTTCGAACCGAAACGCATTACTGCTTCACGGCGGATATAGGCGGGGTGGTGGTACCTCCCCATGCGGACTCCCATGAGGTCCTACCACCATACCATTTCTTGTCAATTTTGTGAATACCATCGTATTCACAAAATTGACAAGAAATGATTAAGATCTTACCTATGCGGTGATGGACTTGGATACGCCATATTATTAGCCACTCCATGACTATATTGCATCTCCGGCCTGTTTTGCGGAACTGGTCGTCCGTATATGCCTTGCTCCACTTTCCTGGGACCAGTATCTCTCGGCGTTATCGGTTCAGGCTCAGGCCGTTTTCTCTCTTCACTGTTGTTTAAATTGGATTCTTCTGCTTTATCTTCACTCCCGTCCTTACTTTTAAATCTACTAGAGATCATGTCTTTCAGTGTGTGATACGTTTTACTAACGGACTTGTTGCTTCTCGGTGCGTCTCTTGTGCTATCTTTACCCGTCTCTACGGTAACCGTAATCTGTTGTGAATTATTCGTGGCGTCAATTTTAGTGCCGTATGTTTTGGCTGGCACTGGGGGTTTGGGAGAATCGTAGTTGCCATTTCTAGTACCACTCTGATTCTGCTGCATGTTGTAATTGTAGTTCTCGTGGTATTGTCTGTAGTCGGCCGATGTGCCGGCTTGGTTCTGCGGGCAAAGATACCTTGGTTAACTGTGTTATTGTTCGCAATGGGAATCTCGAGACAATGGACGATTTCAGAATGGAAGTTGTTAGTAAGTTTATGTCCATGCTATTTATAAGTCATACGAGTGAAAGGTGCATTGTAAGTTGGAATACTTTAAACTTGTATCTGTTTAAGTGATGTTGTAACTTTTTTAATGATTGAACAGCTTTATTTTATGAATCATTAAAAGGATCCGAGTTCATAGACCTAATAATTATTGGGAGTTTCGAAATCGTAATATAAAATTAGTGCTATAGAAGAGTATTCCGGTGACTGGTGATCACGTTTGATGCACCCGGGATAAAATGTAAGGCAAATAAAATGGTGTAACGCTAAATGCAATTTTATTTCAGGAAATTATATAGAAAATAATAATAATTTAAGGAATGGGTACATAGATTATGATATAGTGTTTAAAACACAAAAGAGGTAGGTAATGAGCAGTTTATTCAAAGTAGGCGTTGACACAAATTATTAGTAGATGACGTGTTTCGGAGACCTACTCAAAATTATCCGTATCTAGTCGTATTTTGATATTGAATGTCTACCGGATTAGGAACACAGAGGTGATACATCCAAAGGAGTTCCGCAGTTGATTTATAAGGGGCTATTACAACTAAGCCCGGACGAGAAGATGAGCTCACGGTCTCAAGCTGAGAGGATTTGCTATCACTAGTCCTAGCACGAGCAATGCTTCGCAGAATCTACCTCCGGATCGATATCGCGACCGACGAGAAGATCCAGCTTTAAGCTCAGTGAGGACGTGTCTATGGTAAGGCTAGCTGTTATACGCGGCTTCGCCCGCGCAAGGGACACTGTTATTTCCCGTGAGAATGAGAAGTGTTTTCTTATCACTTAAATAAACCCGTTGTTTCGTTTCGGCCTAAAAGAAGGACAAACAAACACACCTCTACATTTATAGTACATATTAAATAAGTACACGCGGGATTCTTTTAGAAATGATTATTATGCCGATTATCGGGGCACTTTAAAAATAGCACTAGAAATATTGTTCTGCCAACTGTACTTTAGCTACGCGTATTAAGCTGTACCTCACAAATAGCGAAAAAACTGAAAGATTATTCAGTGGGGCAAATTGAAACAGATCCTATACACAGCTGTGAGATAACCTGAACTTATCATGCGCTAAACTAGTCATCACCAGTTAATCTATTAACAGTATACTGATTTTTTGTCTTTTTTAATTGATATAGTTTGGCTAACGAGTTCAAAGCTCACCTAGTGTTAAGTCATTATTTTTTACCATCTTCAGACACGAGGTACAAGATACAAATGCGTTGCGCATGATTACTTATTGGTGGTACAAAAACTAAACTGATTTATTTATTTATTTAAAGCATATAAAGTTACGACATAAACTAAAATAATTTTACTAACATTTTCCAAAGCGAATTCGACCATATTTCAACAACACTTAACACACATCACTGAGCATTGATTCCTGTTTTTTTTAACACAATTCAAACTTTGAAACAAAGAGATTCTCAATTTAGCTGCGTGTGGTTTTTTTTTCAAATTTTTGTTTGGGTGTAGCGTCCCGACCGGATGCGCGTTCGGTTGTGGGATAGGTTCGTGAGTCGGCGTGCTGCTTGCCGCCTCGCTGTGTCGAATGTAGCAACGCGTGAACGCAACGAACTCGCACGAATTTAATTATATACAATGTATTCGCTCTTTTGTTGCAGACCATTCTACTTCTTCTTTCGATAATTAAGAGTATATTTTTAGTATTAAGGGTAGGTCATGGTATGAGGTGATAAAAAAAGCGCTTTTCTATATATGTACAGCTTCACAAGGGTTAGGATGATCATTGTTTATAAAAGAAAAAAAAAATACATTAAAGCCTTTTCTTTGATAGCCCTTTTCAAAGCTATATACTGTTATATAGCAGAAGTGTATTTAAGAAATGTCTTTATCTGGTCTGTGAATAGTACATACTATATGTATAATTATTGTATTAAATTTTGATTTACTTGATGGTAAATATTTGTTAAGTTTATTTTAAACTGTGGGAAATGATGCAAACACGCACAAGGGTATCCGGCATTACTGCTGGAAGATCATTGTACTACTACAGTACATTGCAAATTAAAACAGCAGAAAAAGAAGCCCTGTTAATTAATAAGCTCCATTAAAATAATAATAATAATAAAATCAAAATTCAACTTTAAAATGAAATAAAAATCGATAAAAATGGTTATTTTATCATAAAAGTAGTAAAAACACAATTAAAACTTCACGCATTTCAAAAATACGATTCATTCCACTTTCACCGAAATATGAAGCTAATATTCACTCGATCGATATTTTACTGTTTCATTTTTGAGTAGAATATGGTAAATTGTATTGATGATTTATTATAGCTTCGTAAAGCAGTAGAATTGTTTAGAACACAAAACTTTAAATATACGATGTACCCACATGTACGAGTATAGTTCTTGTGAATCTCTAAGATCATGGAATTCTAAAAAAGAACATTCCCGTTTGACTGTTTATATATACAGAAAGAACCCACTGAGTCTTCGGANGATATATCTATATGTTAAGGTTGGCTCACTATAACGTTTTTTTATGCTAACCAAATTTGTTCTAAAATAAAGCATTATTTGTGAACTATATTCCACGCGGACGAAGTCGCGCTGATGTTAAAGATAATTATGAACTAGTTCGAAAATTTTTTAAGGGAAATAGACTCGCAGTCCCTTCGGCTAAATGGAAAATTGTACGAATGCACTATGACGACATTTGTCACGTGGATCTAAATCATCGTTTAGCTTTGATTAAAAGCCAATATTGGTTTCTTAAAATGACACGCTTTATTAGGAAATACGTGGCAGCATGTCTTTATTGTACACATGAGAAGGACAACTATGTTAAAAAAAGAAGACTGTCTATATCCGATCTCTAAACCATCTGATACTATGCGCATGGTACAAATAGATAACATGATGCCCTTCTGTAGGACATCTAAAGGGTACCAACCAATACATGATCGTAATGAAAGATGCGTTGTCTAAATTTGTGATAGCTGAACTAACGCGTACTGTAAATTCAATCGGGACCATTCGTGCATTGAAAAATATATTAATAGGGTTTGTCCAGATACCCGAATCACGTGGTGACAGACTACGGGAAAGCTTTTACGAGTAGGACTTTAAAAGAATATATCAGAAGATAAACAGTTTAGGCATACGTTAAACGGTATTGCTTGTCCGCGCGCTAATTGGCCAGGTTGAACAAACTAAACATACAATTTTATGTGTTGCGGGCAACTGTGATCCTAGTGAAGCTTCAAATAATTTAGTGAACTCCGTCATTTGAGGCACAAACAACACAATTAAAAGTAACAGCGGCTACAAGCCTTGTGATTTAATCTTTGCGCGCTCTGGTAGGTCAATATGTCATGTTTCGATTCCTGGTCGCGAACCAGAAACTGTTGACGCACGGCGTAAGATAGCTGCAGCTAGGATAAAACAAGCGAGTACAATAATGACACACAACATTTTGTATCGTAGAGACAGGCGCCAACTGGTTAGTAGCGCCGCTAGGATTAATACCAAATTAGACGATTTGTACTCAGGTCCGTATGTAGTAACTAAAGTAGTAGGTAACAATCGGTATCGAATTAGAAGTACATCTAAAAGGTTTACGAAGTTATAAAAACTTCACTGGCCTGGTATCAACAGATTCATTAAGGCCCTATAAAAGTATAGCCCGTGTGTCCGATAGCGCTAGTAGTTCCGATGAGCAGCTCGAAACTGAACACCTTATTGATTTATTTGAGAACTAAATGTTTTTGTGTATTCCCCATTGCGGGAGCAATTGTTGCAGGATGGCCGAATGTAACGGACGTGACGTCAGCTGTCATGCCCTGCCGCCAGCCAAGCCGCCAAGCCATATTAACACGCCCCCTTCCGCCACAGCCACCGCCACCGCCGCCAGCCAAAGCCAACGAAGGGGGGATAGTGTTAATAAAACAAGCCGTGCCAGCCATTTCTACCTACTTTTCTGCATTCTTGCACAAATAAAAGAACTTGTCGTTACGCTGCTGGTTTTGATTGTCACATCATTTGCAACAATTATTTATTATTGCTTAGATGGATTGACGAGCTTACAGCCCACCTGGTGTTAAGTGGTTACTGGAGCCCATAGACATCTACAACGTAAATGCGTCACCCACCTTGAGATATAAGTTCTAAGGTATCAGTATAGTTACAACGGCTACCCCACCCTTCGAACCGAAACGCATTACTGCTTCACGGCGGAAATAGGCGGGGTGGTGGTACCTACCCGTGCGGACTCCCAAGAGGTCCTACCACCAGTGATTACGCAAATTATAATGTTGCGGGTTTAATTTTTATTACATGATGTTATTCCTTCACCGTGGAAGTCAATCGTGAATATTTGTTAAGTGCGTATTTCATTAGAAAAATTGGTACCCGCCTGCGGGATTCGACACCGGTGCATCGCTACATACGAATGTACCGGACGTCTTATCCTTTAGGCCACAACGACTTCAAGACTAGACTAGAGTTGTATGATGTCTATTTCTGCACCGTTTTTTTTTTATCTAATTTACTTTTCGTTTTCATGAGTTGGATATATTATGTGACGTATCTATTAGTTTAAGAGTGGAGTCCTATGTTTTACTTTTGTCTTCTGCCTCACAGTTGTTTTAATATAAACTGGTTTTTCGGTGGAAGGAAAGTCTAAAGATGTGATTTTTCGATCAATAACTAAAGTTCGAGGTCAGATACAGCTTATGTTTGTGTGTATTTTTAAACAATTATCTTCCAAATTATTACATTTATAATAATTTGAAATTAGCGAATATGTATTAGGATTCGTAATTTTTTAAATTAAACAAGAAAGTCTTGTATACACTTTTTTGTATTTACCAAACATATTTCTCTCAAAAATTTCATAGCTTTAGAAAAAATCTCTTATGCTTAAAAAGTGATATGCATTTAAAGTTTTTATTCTTAGTACATAAAAAATGCATAATTGCAATCGTATCATTCCACGAAAACTACGAATTTGAAAATTGTAAAAATAACCATTATTGATATTAAAAACAATAATTCACTTGCCGTATTAAATTTGTGCATTTTATTTGATTCATGCACTTTAGTGATAGCTTATTAATTGATCAATAAATAAGCTGATCCAAAAAACAAGAAACAAAAAAGGTTTTGTATTTTCAGCGAGTTTCTGTGTGAACATATTGAATTCAGTTTCTCTATAATTACGAAGATCGGTTTATGTGCTTCGAGGTACACAGTAGTACAAAATCTACAGCACAATATAAATCAGTGAATAAGTATAGTCGTACATAATTTATAGGACGCCTTTGCCGGGCCGGTTTAATGGATGCCCCGCAGATATCAAACCTTAGCCGTCTTTAAATTACTCACTGTTCAGGAAACGGGGGCTCACTCTTGACTACAAAGCTGTTTCCCACAGTTAGATAAGGCTTTTTAATAAATAAAAAAAACACTTACAACGTTTAATTGTAATTGTTATTCATTGCTTCCTGTTGATTGGAGATAAAGAGGTAATTTATTAAATTACCATTTAAAAAAAGACCTAGTTCAATCTCTATCTCAATCGTAATCATATTATCTTCGGTTTTCGGGAGTTGTACTCTTAGATATAATAAAAACTGATTTCAGGGTGTAATCTCGAGTTTTTTATTGTCGTTAGATTGTTATCGATGCGTCGATAATACTTTATAATGTTTGTGGTCACGGACAATTAAGCTTTTACAAGTTGACATTTATGTAGAAATATTTATATTATAGAATTTTATATACAGACGGTAGATAGACATTATATTGAAATTAATGCATATGCACAATAAAAAAATTGTGACTAAACCGTAAAATTAGCTTTAATTCAATTGTTGTTGTTTTAGACTGAGTCAAGTCAAAGAACACTTACTACACATTTTTTATTGCCCTTGTGGGCAGACGAGCGTACGGTCCACCTGATGTTGAGTGGTTACCGTCGCCCTTGGACCTTAGCAATGCCAGGGGCAGAGCCAAGCCGCTGTCTGCATACTTACTAAATTTTTTTTACGGCTAAATCTTGTTTTATTAGTCTGAGTATATTGTTTCAAATGTTTCCACTTATTAAATGTTTTCGTGGGTGCGTATGACTGAGGTGCTTTGACATTTGAATGTGCCAACTATACGTTTTTTTTTTAAATTTCCTTTAAGATTTTGTAAATATATATGTATATAGTTTTTGATGAGCTCCCAGGCACTGCTACCATTTTTCTGTAATCCAACTGTAGTATACTGGATATATTCAAGTCTGAGAGAACAGCCGTTGTATCAATGCAATTGAGACTTACTTTCTTACGGCTTTAAATATAAAGTGTCTCCTTGGGGTCCTAAAGGGTCTTCTAAAGGGACTCCGTTAAAAACAACCAAAAAGTATTAAATAACAATGACACAACGATCTGGGTGCAGGATGAGGGTGACAAGACCGTTCTCAAAATTATTATCAGACCGCCAATGCTTTATGCTAAGTTCATAAATTGAGTAGAATTTAATCAGTAACAATCGTATGAAACAAAAATAAATAGATGATTACGATATGCATTCGTAAAGTGTGGGACAACAGTGACATGTCCTTCTTCAAACGAGGCTTGTGGAGAGTATTAAGCGGTAGGCAGCGGCTTGGCTCTGCCCCTGGCATTGTTGAAGTCCATGGACGATGGTAACCACTCATCATCAGGTGGACCGTATGCTCGTCTGCCTACAAGGGCAATAAAAAAAAATTTGGCTTACTAGAAGTTTGTTCGTTCGTTACCGGGTCCTTTAAATTTTTAGTGGAAATCAAAGAAAAATGTCTATTTGTTTACCTTATGACGGGTTTTGTCTTTGTAGAACTGAAGGGATTATTTATTAAGAAAACTTAATTTAACGTCACAAGGTTCTGCCATAAACGTTTTTTAGTATTGCTATTTAAGGAACGATACTGCTGTATCAAGTAAAGACAATACTCTGTCGAACTGTAAAACACCTAATTCCGGTGAAATATTTTACTGGTGGTAGGACCTCTTGTGAGTCTGCGCGGGTAGTTACCACCGCCCCGCCTATTTCTGCCGTGAAGCAGTAATGCGTTTCGGTTTGAAGGGTGGAGCAGCCGTTGTAACTATACTGAGATCTTAGAACTTATATCTCAAGGTGGGTGGCGCATTTACGTTGTAGATGTCCATGGGCTCCAGTAACCACTTAACAACAGGTGGGCTGTGAGTTCGTCCACCCATCTAAACAATATTTTTTTTTTTAATAAAATCTAAGTAGGTATATCACAGAAAGTATTTTACAACTACCACATCGCGTTGGTGGATAAAAATACGGACTGACAAATTTTATTTTTATAACGACACAAAATCACAGCGTCACACGAAAACAATTTTCATTCAGGTAAAGCAAAGAGCAATAACAGTATAATACAGTTCTTTTTTTTATCAAAGCTCTTTAAAAATTCCGTACACAGAAATTCATACAGAAAATGAATAGAATATTAAATTATGTTCGCCCGCGTTTTGTAAAACTGACGAAGCTTCTTGTTAAGCTTTCAAGAAGCTTTTAAGTTAATGAAAAACTTATTTAAAAAAAAATCTATTGACTCTTTTATAATGGGCGTTCTGGACAAATTAATATTATGAATAAGAGTCGAGGAATCATTTTGTCATTTGATCATCATTTATAAAGTAATTAATTCATATTTATTTTAAGAGAATTGCTTGTTGTTTACTTACTCTGGGTTAGAAATTATCTTAATAGAATTCGGTTTCAATGGCTCATTAATAATCTTACCAGTAATGGGATGGTGTCATCTTATAGTCCATGAAATAAAATTGTATCTTTAGTACTTTCCTCAAGTATAATAATGTCTTGAATTAAGCAATAGAAAATTTCAACTGGAATTAAGATAATAATATGTTTTAAGGTAATAATTTTCTTTATGGTGAAAAAATTGAATCGTTATTACTAATTTACATGCAAATATTTTAATTTTTTAATTATATGTATAATTGCAACAAAAAATAAATACAGTTTAATTTTGTTTACAGTTCTAATGATCACGAAACCTGTAACCAATTTGAAGAGTTGGAATTTCAATAAGAAGAAGCCGTTAGGATGTTATTTATTATATTCTCGTTATACTTATTCTCGTGAAATTCGAGGAAATGCTATTCAATGAAATGCTATTGAGTACAGTTGACGAAAATAATTAAGAACAATAATTTAAAAAAATCATTAATAATTTTAATAATTTTCGAACAGTCCTAAGTCGTAAGAACAACGAATAACAACTGAAATTTAGAAAAAAAATATTGGAATCGGAGTCTAGGTACTAACTGAATGTTTTTTAACACACTCATTCGAAATCATAACTGAACCTTGTAGTACTTGCTGTAGTCAGGTTCAATAATCACTTACCGATGACGTCATAGATGGGTAAAAACAATTTTCTCCTTTGATGTCGTTTCATTCAATAATATCATACAATACTTACATTAAAATTTATTTTGGATCAAATGGTTATTTTATGAAATACTGATTATTGCAGTTCAATAATATAAATTAAATTCTTTCGTTTACTGGTGGTAGGACTTCTTGTGAGTCCGCACGGGTAGGTCCGACCACCCCGCCTATTTCTGCCGTGAAGCAGTAATGCGTTTCGGTTTGAAGGGTGGAGCAGCCGTTGTAATTCTACTGAAACCTTAGAAATTATATCTCAAGGTGGGTGGCGCATTTACGTTATAGATGTCTATGGGCTCCAGTAACCACTTAACATCAGGTGGGCTGTGAGATCGTCCACCCATAAAAGCAATAAAAAAATATATTTGTATAGCGTAGCAATCAAAAGTAGATATATGCATACAATTATAAACACCTTTGATCAAAATAGGCTAAATCATTGATAGTTCACTACATCCAATTTGTAACTTAAGAGCTATTGTTTGTTTAAATTTCAGTGCATCTGAGACCAGTACTTTATTTTCCAGGGGCGGCAAATTCACGCTTAGTAAGTTCGTAATGAGGGTGTAAGTAGCTAATTACCTAAAATAGCCCATGAAGTCGTCTCTTGTTACTACAATTGATCAGTTTCTACTAAACAACAAACTATAAAGTATTAATGAAGTAAATTCAATCAAAATAATTAATTATTTTTTTGTTATTTCTTATTAAGGATATATAAATTTTGTAATGAACTAAATGAGATGTAAAAATACAAGTAATTTGCTTTAAAATGTTACGTACAATATAATTAATAGTGCAAGATATCGTTTTGAGATACTCTTTGAATTAATGAAGATTTAGTCTCAAAAGTCTTTAATAAAAAATATACAAATCAATGTTGAACTCGGATCTGCACATACTTACACCAAAATATAAACTTTTATATGAAGATTGTTCTAAGTATATTTTAAAATGCAGCCATTTATTATTAGGTACTCACTAAAGTTATTCTAAGTCTATGATAAAATCTCTGTCCTAATATTTATGAGCTTACCTTTGAAATTTAAAACGAAATAATCATTATAAAGTCTTCATTCAAGCTTTAGATCCACAAAAGTTCGTCATCCTGGCTAAGCTCACCGAACAGCATCCCACTAAAGAACATCCTCTAACGTAATTAATTTTAATATGTTAAAGACCATTACTTTCCTTATCTCACTTGTCGAGTTTACCCGGTGAAGTTATATTAAATTTCGACGAAGTCAAACACAAAAGTTTCGGTGTTCGCTCGTAAGTCGGGATCAAAGCAAAGAACGCGGCCGGGAACTAATCTCGCAAACGGGAGAGAAGTTATCACGCCGCTCGGCACAGACCTGACGCGCGGCTCCGTTCGAACTGACTTGGTCCGTGCGGCATGCGGCTCGTTTCGGCGACTCGTGAGCGATATCGCTGCGATTCATGCGCGTCTCACCGGGTAGGAGGAGTCTCCCCAAAAAACCACGCCTACCAAGGAGCTACACATTTCTTTTTCAATATGTGTAATTCAATTTCGCTTATGTCTTCGCTGGGAAAGTTGATGCCCCGTTGTCGTTCAACACGATGTTTTTATGTAAACTGTAATGTAGTTCNCTTGGTCCGTGCGACTCGTGAGCGATATCGCTGCGATTCATGCGCGTCTCACCGGGTAGGAGGAGTCTCCCCAAAAAACCACGCCTACCAAGGAGCTACACATTTCTTTTTCAATATGTGTAATTCAATTTCGCTTATGTCTTCGCTGGGAAAGTTGATGCCCCGTTGTCGTTCAACACGATGTTTTTATGTAAACTGTAATGTAGTTCGCGAACCGAGTCGGCCCGTGATGCTACGTACGCTCCGTGTGATTTTCTTTTTTTTTCTTCTTATTTTGTTACCAATTTCACGTGCTGTTGCTTGTTCGTATCTACTGGAATGATAAAATACTTACAGAAAAAACTTTATTTGATACGGAGTAAACTGATTTTCTGTATATTTAACAGATCTTTTTGTTCGATTACTTGTCTTTCTCTTGACCTCATAATTTTCTTTTTTTTTTATTGCTTAGATGGTTGGACGACCTCACAGCCCACCTGGTGTTAAGCGGTTACTGGAGCCCATAGACATCTGCAACGTAAATGCGCCACCTTGAGATATAAGTTCTAAGGTCTCAGTATAGTTACAACGGCTGCCCCACCCTTCAAACCGAAACGCATTACTGCTTCACGGCAGAAATAGGCAGGGTGGTGGTACCTACCCGTGCGGACTCACAAGAGGTCCTGCCACTAGTAAGAAATAAATCTAATAGGTTTAAAAAAAAGAATTAATTAAGTTTTTTTTTTTTCAAACTTTGTATCGTGATAACGCTTTAGCTACTATCCCACGAGGGGATCCTGTAAAGGAATTTCCTAAATTATACCAGTAAATTAAGCGCTAGTTTCATTTGCGTTACAAAGTGAGTTATGCGTTAGTATCTTAGTTCTGTCACCATCTAAGTTACTACGGTTCAAAATTAATACAGTGCCATAAGCCAACGCTAATACTCTGCGTTCGCACTCCTATTTGCCGTATCAAATTTAAACGAAACTTCAATAAGTTTAAAACTTTATTTTCATCGCAATAGAGAACAAAATACATTGGCCGTTGGGCAGGTGAATAGGCTTTTGCATCTTTACTTAATAAATATAAAGTGAACACCTATTTGTTTGGTGTCGTATGTAACGGGATCCTAATGACGACTGACATCAATAAATTTAATTAAATAGAGCTTGACAATGAATAATTGACGTACATCGACTCTCAGTAACGTTGTACATAAAATTTTTAGAGCAAATTTATTTGGGAAAAATTCACTTTAATTTTGAAGTAGATATTTTTGAGACTCTTTTTATGGTACTAGATGATTGAAAGAAATTTACGTCTCCTTGGTGTCAAGTGGTTACTAGAACCCATAGATGTTCACGTCCCATATGCAACACACTTTGAGATATGTACTATGTTGAAGCCTAAATTTTATTACAAAAATAGGTTTTATATTGAGTAAGAGAGCACTTAGCTATAACTCTTTTGAATATAATTAATATTTAGTGATTATTTAAAAAAAAAACTTATTACATATTAAAAGTTTCAAATGAAGAACACAATCATTTAAATTGTCCTTCCATTAAGTGTAGGTGTTAGGTTCCAAAAATAATATCACAAACACTCACGACGTTGGCTGCGAAAGTTTTGAAATATTTGTTATAAGTAAAATCAAAACTAATTGAATATACATATTTATCACAAAATGAAACATCTTACTATGGTAATAACAAAACTGATATGAACTGAATGTGGTATATTTGAAACCACTTTTACGATTTAATCTTACGTTTATAATTTGATATTTTTTATTTTTGACTAGTGACGGTAGTTACTAGGCAGTCAATACGTACTTATTCTTAATCTCGAGTTTAAGCCATAAAAGTAGTTATATTTATATCTGTGACTTGCGAAAACCAACAAAATCTATACTAATATTATAAAGAGGAAAGATTTGTTTGTTTGTTTGTTTCGAATAGGCTCCGAAACTACTGGACCGATTTGAAAATTTTTTTTCCATTAGAAGCCGACATTGTCCCTGATGAACATAGGCTACTTTTTTTTATTTTTTTTTTATTTTATTTTTTTGGTTTCATGTGTGTTTTAATGTTTCCGAAGCGAAGCGAGGGCGGGTCGCTATACTTTATAAAACGATTTTCTTGAAATTTGGGATTTTTTATTCTAATTTAATAATAAAAAAGTCCTCCAATAAAAAAGCCGCAGAGCCGTTGCGTTATAAACCGGTTTTACAATAAGATTGTGATTTTGATCACCTATGTATCTCAAAGCATGGGACGCTATTCAAGATATCATTTCTGTAGTGGACGTTATTCATATAAGGCTGCTGTGAAGTCGTCTGCCTGACTGCCTCTAAAAGAGCATTTTCGTGGACAGTTTACCATATTTAGACGTCCATGTGCGACGGTAATCACTCACCATCAGGTGGGCCATTAGGTGGGGGTAGACTGCGCATGGGAAATGAAAAAAAATCAGAACGTACATACAAACATAATTGTTAACGGCCGTCCGGTGTAGTGGTAAGTGACGTGGTCATTACACAAGGGGGCGCGGGTTCGAATCCCGCCAAGGGAAGAAATTTGTATGATAAATATAAAATGTCTTTACCAGGGTTATGGATGTATGTTAAAAAATATATGTATGTGTATAATAAAAAACTTACATTTATTTCCGTTATCTGGTACCTGCAATACAAGTTCTTTGCGAACTTAACACGGGACGAGTTAAGGTGTCGTGATTGTTTAAAAAAAAAAAATTGTATCTGCCGAAACAGGCTTTTCAATTACGTAGTAAATGTGGCTTGCTGATTTTTTTTTCTCTTATTAAATAAAATTTGAGCATTGATGTAGGTGCTAATATAAGAGCAGAAGAAAGCTCAGCTATGGATGATTTTAACTGTAGCTTATCCGTTGTTCGATATCGCGGTTCTTCTAGTTCAAGTCATCCTTACACAGAATATTTTGAAACTAACCTCAGTGCATATTATAAATATCTATTACTAATAATAATATATAATATATTATTACTCTACAACACTCTTGTATTTTTATTTTTAAAAATCAGGCCGGTCAATGCAGGGCACTCATGCCAACTGTGTGGCCAATGTAAAATATTCAATGTCCCGATTTTATTGAAATATGTATTGTATTAATATGTAATGAATTTACATCGCCGCTATGGTCCGTGAAAATAATTTCAAATCACCACAGTTTTAATACAATTTACACGACTCTACACCGATATGAATGAGATTTTATAATAAAAAAAATGTGTATACTTTATGTATTATTAATACGATTTATTTTGCTCATTGATTTCAGTTTTCAAATTGCGTTTCGAATCTGTAGTAAAATTATATCGATTTATGGTACCTAGTTGTATAAAAAAAATAAGTTTTTAATATCAATGCAATATTTTTTTTCTAATACAATAAATAGCATTTTCCTAGAACGTCACTTTATGCATTTTTCTTCTTTTTTCTTACTTGTATCGTATTTTATTATTAATACACAGGAACAAAATAGGTTTTGCAACGGTCAGTACGTTGGTAATAATTTATTAAATATCAAATTGATCTTAAGATAATTTTTTTATCTTTATTTAAGGAGATTATTTACCTAGTGAATATGCCACTCCATTGTGCAACAAAAGAGAGTAACAAAATAATTATGTAAAAAAATAAGGGTAACGTCTATCGTCTCTGAAGGCCCACCAAAACTATTTTATAAAGTGTCTTATCCATTTCGGATTCCGGAAAGGCTAATACGTAATTCACAGCTCCAACTTGTCGAAAATCTGTATATTTTGCAAAGAATTATTGTCTCAAATCATCGTTCCGTACACACTCCATCATAATGTGAAAAGCATCTTCCACTACATCACAAACTGAACATTTGGGATCAGAAGCCTTCCCTATTAAAAGAGCAAATTTATTGAGTGCGACATACCCGGAATGAAGTCTGAAAACAGTCATTCAACTTAAGATAATTTTAACTATGCTATAATGTCAAATCGAATGCTCCAAAATCAAACATAAACACTGTATCCATAAAAAATCACATTAAATGGATATATACTCGTACAAAAAGTATTTGAAAGTAATTCATACTTTCTTTTTCTTTTCAATAATTGAAACATCTGAATCCGAAGCTTGATAAATTCCCATAAAACAATAAAAAACTGTCTCGATTCAAAACAAACAAGTATGACAAGATAATTTACTTGCCTTACAAGATTTACCTATAAGGGCTGTTTACATTATTTTTGTACATCTGCGAACGAAAGTATTGTGTAAATTGTAATCCAGGCAAGTTCGCACTCGATCGACTCAAGTTCAGGAATAAGGCAAAAAGAGGCCGATAGCCCGACGTCCCTGGGGGCTCGTTTAAGCCGAAGCGGTTTACTCGTTCTTATGATTAAGTCAGTTCTTGGGGGATTCGGGTTCCGCAAACCGTTGTACTGAGTTTTAAGCACTTCATTTTAAGGATCCGTATTTTTATGTTCTAACATTCTCCCTTCTATTGCTGGTTGGACAAACGAGCGCACAAAGGTGTTATTTGCTGCTGCCCATTGATATAGCACCATAAATTCAAAAATATTAAATTGTCATTGGTCTCGTAAAAAGTCTGTCTTATCTTGTTAAAAAGTCTCCTTCGAAAAAGTTAATTCTTTTAAGCTTAGTCTAGGATCTGTTACTTAGTAGTCTACTTGCATGTAACTGAGCTAACTAGCTGCTTAA